GATAGATTATATGCAATTGACACTAATAATGCACTTAACATCAAAGATGCTGTCATGCACAGCAGAGTTGTCATTGGGAAATACTGAGACATTTAGGATTTAGGAGTAGTATACTTATGTTTGCATATATGCTGAGATGAAGGGAATACTGTGCTGTTCGTTACACTGAATTGAGCAAAATTGCATAATTTATCTAAAAATACACAAGTTCTTCAAAAGTTCACATAGTATAGCTCACTCTATTATGTATTTTTTAGTGCTGTCAAACGATTAATCGCAATTAATCACATCCAAAATAAAAGATTTTGTTTACAAATTATATGTTTGTGTTCTGTGTATATTTATTATTTATATATAAATGCACACACATGCATGTATATATTTAAGAAAAATATGTTGTTTATATATTAAGTATATATATATATATATAATATAAATTATATGAATATAAATATATACATGTGAATACATGTAAATATTTTCATAATATATACTATGTGTGTATTTATATATACATAATAAATATACACAGTACACACATATATGTTTTGTAAACAAAGACTTTTATTTTGAATGCGATTGATCGCGATTAATCGTTTGATGGCACAGATTTTTTACAAATTTAATTAACAGTACAATTAATTACAATTGATTATTCTTTCTTTCTAGTGAAAGAAATTCAATTGAAGTATATTAAAGAATTTAGATTTCTATAATATTTCACTTTTTTCTATTTTTATTAGGTGAAGGAAGGATTTTTTTGTTTAATATTATTTATTACGTTTTCTAGATTTTTTGTCATTATTACTGTACACATTATGTATTGTGAAAAATCTTTGCTATTAATATTGACACCCTTTGTTTTTATTAGTTTATCCTGTTTTTCTATTTAATGAAGAAATTTAAATAATTATAGAATAATAATAAAAAAATCAAATTTAGAATTTTTAGTTTTGTTTCTATTTTAATTTTTTTATTTTTTACGGTTATATTCTTGTACCTCCTAAAGGAAAATTTGATTTCCCAAATCCAATAATGGAAGGATTTTATGTTCTTGACCAATTATAACTGACATTAATTCATTTTTATTTATTTATAAATGTTTTACTTAATTAATACATTTTTATTTATTTATACATTTTGACTTCATTTGACTGATTTTACACAATATGTGTATTGTGAAGTAATATTTACTCTTATACTGAAACCTTTGTTTTTAGCTATGTAAATGACCTCATCATCATCATCATCATCAAATAATGACTTTTCTAGCATGGAACATGGGAGCATAAGTCTGGGTTGAAATGCCAAGTATTCTCCAATTTTTGTGTTATTCTGCAGTTTAGCAGCTTTCTGCAGCCTCATAATAGGGCATAATACTATGTTCAATTTATTGCACATTAAAAAGCAATAAATACATAAAATAGTGCTATAGAAGGAGACTGAAGGTGCATGTGTGCATTGGAATGTTTTGCCTAAGAATGCACAAAGGCATGGAAATTCAACAGAATGGCATGTACAAATAGTGACTCACCCTTTATATTTGAATGAATTGGAAACTAATATGATCAAACTGTCAAAGCGTTGACAGAACAGTCCTGCTTCTTTTGAAGCAGCCAATACTTCAAAAATAGTTTAAATTGGGTGCCATTTGTCATCATCACTTTGTATGCAAGTGTATAGATACTTTGACATCAATACTTGTAAGTATATTCCCTCAGTCCTTCAATCAACCTCTGTGGCATATTTGCAGGTAAAAGTTTCTCCAATCAGAGCAGTCCCAAATGCAGCCCTTCCGACGGAGAGGCTTCCTCGTCCATCCTCCCCGTCCACCAGGTCCTGGACAAGGTAAAGGGCTACTGCTCCGTGCGCTCGGACAACTTCTACAAAAACATTATGATGTCAGACAGCTTTAGCAACAGCACTAAATTCTAGTGAGAGGAGGCTGAGACAGATCCCCATTCTGTCCCACAAACTTACCTTGTGTGTAAAGACTTCGCTACATATTGAGTTAACCCTTCAAGCCCTTCCACCCTGCCCGACGAGTAGAGAAACACATAACCCTGTAGAGAGGGCAAGCTATGAAAGTGTGGATTTGACATACTGTGATATTCAGCTTATACTGACTATGTGATCTGTAAATATTCATAATATATTTTACTATCTGTGCTTTTTCTAATTTCGGTTTTGCATACTTTTTTTGCACATTACTTTGGTTTTTGTTTTTGTATATATAAATGCATAAAGGCTTGCTGCAGCAGAAAAAAATGGGACCAATTTACATCCAAAGACTGATTGGCAAACATGAGGAGTACTAGTTAGTTTCTCAGTTCGGGACTGAAAGAACAAGTACGGTTGGAGCTTGAATTTTCATGCTTGTGAATTTTGCCTTGATTTCGCTTTCTTTACCTTACGTACATTTTCAGTGTAAATTAGTGAACCTTTAATACTTCTATTTTGTCATTATTTAAATGCTCTATATTTTAGTCTTCACATGATCTACTACTGATTAACATGTTACAGAAAATGTTAGTTTTTTTTTTACAGTGTGTTCATTGTTCAAGTGTTTCAGTGCATGCAGTTTCATAAAACTGCTCTAATAGAAGGGCAGGGCATCAAGATCCGTTCTTTGCAATTTGACGATAGAATGGAAAACAACAGCTATACACCAAATCTAACACATTCAGACCTTCCCATTGCTGTAGTTTAATGACTGTTTTGACTTGGTATTTATTTTAAATGCTTTTAATAGATTTCTATGCTTCATTAAAGAAAATGTCAGCAGAGGAAATGCTTTTTTTTCCTCTGCAGTTTGCTCTGGTCATCAGTGTAGATCATCATTGTATAGCGGTTATGGATGCTTTATGAAAATGTGACATCCTGCGTATTAAATGCACTTAAAACAGATCTTGTCATTCTTGTTTGTTTGAATAGTAAACATTTTGACCCAAAAATGAAAATTCTGTCAAACTGCTAAGACCTTCGTTCATCTTCGGAACACAAATTAAGATTTTTTTTGATGAAATCCAAGAGCTCTCTGAACCTACATAGAAAGCAAAGCAACTACAACGTTCAAGGCCCAGCAAGGTAGTAAGGACATAGTCCATGAGACATCAGTGGTTAATTTTATGAAGCTACGAGAATACTTTTTTGTGCACAAAGAAAACAAAAATAACTTTATTCAACAATTTCTTCTCTTCCGTGTCAGTCTTCGACATGAGTTCACGGGAGTATCATGTCGCAGGAGCCCGCGTTTTGACATAGAAACCAGATGCACAGCGCATATTTTGTTTTCTTTGCGCACAAAAAGTATTCTCGTAGCTTCATAAAATTACGGTTGAATCACTGTTGTCACATGGACTATTTTATCGATGTCCATACTACCTTTCTGGGCCTTGAACTTGGTAGTTGCGCTGCTGTTTATGCAGGGTCAGAAAGCTCTCGGATTTCATCATAAATATCTTGATTTGTGTTCCGAAGATTAACTAAGGTCTTACGGGTTTGGAACAACATGAGGGTGAGTAATTAGTGACAGAATTTTCGATTTTGGGTAAACTATCCCTTTAAGATTTGTGTACAGTATGTGATGCAGCCATATCTTGATAATCTTAATGATCTGTTTTTAGCTGACTTTTAATCATTTGTTGGGTTTTTCAGGGTGTTTCCCAGAACCTAACAATGTGGTTAGTGGCTGGCTCGATGCGTCTGACTGAAACAGGGGGACAGGAATAGAGAGTGTTTGTTTCTTTGTCCCGGTAGTAAATGAGAGCACCACAAATTCCTTCCAGAAGTTTCTTGTGAAAGGCTTCCTGTGAGGTAAACCAGCATTCCTGATGATGCCAAAAATGAATGCAGATAAATAGCCAGCCTTATATAAAGATGTAGGCCCACTACTATTCACCTTAACAGCATGGTTGATCCTTCAATATGTGATCACTCAGAAACCAGACCAACCAACAATATTGGTTTACACCAGAAAGGCTTTACACATCACCTCATGGAAAACAACAACAGCAAAAGAAAGAGCGAGTGCAGCTATTCAGAAAATTGCTAGCCTCTAGCACTGTGGAAACATTTAGCTTTGCCATTACCCTCTCCCATGATGAGACTCCTGTTTGATCTCTGGGCACAATGACAGTTTTATCGGTTTCTCTCACACTATACCTCTCTGAAGTTTTTTATTTATTTTTATTTTTTGCTTAGCTTCCACTTTTTCTGTACATATTTAACCTTACTCTCATTGTAGGTACAGTAAGCTTATAAGCAATTTTTCCATTATTGCAAGTTGGAAATATTTACAAAGAAAGTCGATACCAAAACCAAAATGATATACTTCAGCCATATTCCATTATATGGGGGGAGAAAAATGTTCACAGATGACTAGGTTTTTGTTTATTTTATTATTTGCCTTTTCACATTACAATAAATATTCAGTTCATTCATTAGATTAGAAATTGTTCCAAATATCTGAGAAATCACATTATATCCACTAATAAATGTTAACTGCTTGTCTGAGTAATGGAGAGGTATTTATTGTTATTATTATTCCAAGGCTAAAAATAAAACTCAAATCTACAATCTTTCTTTTGGCGATATCCTCTTTCTAAACAGAAAAATCTTTACTCAAGGCCAACTTATATGTTTAATGTCAAACATAAAGTGCCCATAAGCCGCTATTGTTCTCAATAAATATACAAATGTACTCACTATAAGGAAACAAAATTGGAAACATCAAACAATATATATTACACGTCAGTAAGCAATACGGTTTTACAGTATTCTACAAAATACTTACAGTTAGATAATATAAGTATCACTCCTATACTGTCATTATTGAGATGCTAGCATTTCATGACAAGCCAAAGTAATAGAAATTATGTCTAATACTGTACTTCGTAAACCATTCACAGCACACATGTTCAGACCTATGGCCAGGCTTGCTGCCCAAATAGTAATAATATACAGTATGTTACTACATAGCTTTTTTTTCATTTCTCTTTTTAGGTTGCTTGTATTGGTTTGTGATTCCTCAGTCTCCGGGGGAATTTAGACTTGTATCGTTCATTGTAGTTTCTGGAATTGGTACTTTCTGACTGAGGCATTTTCATCTCTGGAAAAGATACCAAGTAGTGTATCAGTAAATTACAATACAACTGCCGCAATGTGTGTCAAATACAGTGAATTCAATAATGACACTCACTCTTGCTGGAGATCCAAGTAAGAGCAAAACCGCACGCACTTTTTATCTCTCTTGTCTGTGCACTGGCATCGTTCCACATCTCGTCTTAGACGCATTTGGAGTGAACCCACACCATAGGGAATGACCTGACTGAGAGAGAACTGGATATTTTAACAAACCTTTCCATTTTTAATATGGATTTAATAATCAAATGTAATAAATAATAACTCATCTAGACAAATGTTCTGCACCAAATATACTGTAGCCTATATAAATGTGTTTTATGCACAATGTAGAACTCTTTTCAAATTTGTGAACAGAACCGCGAAAGCCTCGTGCTGCTTTGAATTAGCATTTTGACCAGGTGTGTAGATTCCTGTTTGTTTCAAATATAAAAGACGTCACACTTGTTTCACTTCCCAAGAGCCAGACTCTCAATCTTTGGTTTCTGGGTTGTTTTTCACCGAAGGCAGTCTGCCTGTCCTCAGGTCTTCATGCGTGGGCCACATTAATGAGACCACACACTTAAATACAACCAGACACGTGCTTGCAGAGCGCACAGGTTACCAGCATCAGTCCCCAATAGATCTCAAATCTCTCTTTACCAAAGTGCTGCTCAAAGACATACACAAATCAATGTGTCTGATGTACCTGGGCGTATCGACCCATACGATTCCTATGTGGCAAAAGTACACACATTCTTTGTCCTTCAGGTTTTCACAGGAGCAGCGTCTTTCACGACGGTGAGTGTGTGGAGTAACATTCACAGATGGACTTCTGTTTGCATGGGACCCTGGGACTGACAGATACAAAGAAAAGAACTTTAAACATCAGGTAACAAAAGAAACGGACAGGACAATGTTACAAAATATTTATATTTCAAATAAATGTTTTTTTTCTATTTCTGTTCTATTCATTAAAGAATCCTAAAACTTTAATAGTAATAAGAAATGTTTTTGTGCACCAAATCAATATATTATAAAGATTTTTGTAGGATCGCATGACCCTGAAGACATGAAGAAAATTCAGCTTTTCCAGATTACATTTTAAAATATATTAAAACAGAAAACAGCTTTTTCAAATTGTAATAATATTTCACAATTTTTTACTATATTTTTTATCAAATAATCATAGTTGCAGTAAAAACAAATGGGGTAACGCTATCAATGCAGCGTTCAGAAAGCTTTCACTGATCCCCATTTTCCCAGACTTTTTGCTTTGATGTGTTACACCTGAAACAAACCCTCAAAATATTAGTCTTCACTTGATGATGTGAGACATAACATGTCTAAGCTGTTGTTGCTGTCTAAACAATTCGGCACTGTTGTGTCTTCGAGGTCCGCTTTGTTTTAATCCTGAAGATTCCCATACAAATCCTGTTTTCATGTAGCTTTGATCTCATAGGTTATCAGTTCAGAAGTGAATTGCCATGCAACAGTATTAATAATGATAAAAATCATGTTGAAAAAAAGAATAAAAATGAAGAAAAACTAAAAACAAAATGTCTTATGGTTGAGCTTCATTAAGGTTGCGGTGAATAAAAAGCCATGTGGATCATGTTTAAAGAAGACAGCAAATACGAATCTGTGGCCAACCACATTTTATGCCTCCAGGATTCCAGCAGCACGTGTAGATGCTACAAAGCAAACCACCACTACAGCTTCCGATGGTTGGGGTTTTTAAAGTTGAATCAAAAACAGATCTCGCGCTCATTTGCAACATGGTAACTCTTCAACAGACAAACAGATCTCAAAGGAAAAGAAAGACAAAAGAACAAATATGATGGTATTTACATCAGGGTACTTTCAATTGCTGGAAAAGTTGGACGATGAATTATTTTATGAAGCAAGATGGATGTCTCTGAGTTTTGTTCAGGATACATGGAAGAGGGGTATTAGCAGGACCCCAGTAACCGGAATGACTTCTAAGGTGCTCAGTCAAGCAAACAGGGCCTGAGGCTGTAAGGCTTTATAGAAAAGGATGAAATTGCATGCCCAGGTCTGGTGGAAAGTGATCTGGGAGTGATCACAGTGATCCATCACTATAACAAGGCTACGGGGGTCTAACCATAGAAGTTCGATGTGGAATACACAACAATTGGTCTGGCTTGGCTGGAAATCAGTTGTCATCTACATCCTGAAGGCGTCAGTTGAGGTTACCCGGTGAAGCATTGGGGTTAGTTTTCATATATCAGGTCAGGATAATTAATCACAGAGAAAAGCTGAGATGTGGAACTTGGAATTTGTTACAAATACATTGGAATCCCTGTTGAAAAAAACAGCATATGCTGGTTAGGTATGTTTTGACGCTGGGATGCTGGTTTAAGATGGTCCTTTGCTGGTTTACGCTGGTCCTTTGCTGGTTTATGCTGGTCCTTTGCTGGTTTAAGCTGGTCCTTTGCTAGTTTATGCTGGTCCTTTGCTGGTTTAAGCTGGTCCTTTGCTGGTTTATGCTGGTCCTTTGCTGGTTTAAGCTGGTCATTTGCTGGTTTATGCCGGTCATTTTGCTGGTTTATGCTGGTCCTTTGCCAGCAGATGACCAGCATAAACCAGCAAAAATACCAGCATAAACCAGCAAAGGACCAGCTTAAACCAGCATCCCAGCATCAAAACATACCTAACCAGCATATGCTGGTTTTTTCAACAGGGATGTCTTCTTAAAATGCCTGACATAATTCACATACAACTGACTTTATACCATCCTACCCATAATCATGAGAAAGACAATCAGGAAACATTTTCTTCATCCCTGTATTTTATCAGGCTAGACTTCACTAATTCGATACTGGTATGATACTAGATGGTATGACTGGTATGATACTAAGGCGAGTTCTGTAGCACCTCTCAGGACAGTTTGTTTTCCCAAGAAAAATTTAATTTTGTGACCCGTGCCCTGAAGAAAGAGAGGACTGCCAAGGTGGATCAGCATAGAATTGTAAAAGACAAGCAAGGGATTACGTAAAATCATAACCACCAACAGTGAACCAGACCATCTCACTCGAAGAAACAGCAACAGGTTTCCTGTTGTTAGCATTAACATGTTAGCAAGAAGATGTAAACCTTTACTAATCCCAAGTAGTTTGACTGCTGTTATTAAAATTCAAAGCTGTGATAATTTCTGTCCTGTAGGAGACTGGCCTTGAAACTCGAAACTACTGAGGAAAATGGTACTGTATTCCCAGCAATTAACTGCAATAACAATACTTTGCTATACAGTATATTATCCTAGCCTAATACCCTAGTGTTTTGCACTGCATACCTGTACATCCAATGCTGAAACTAAAGAGCTCAACAACAAACCTTTCTGTTATGTTAAAAATTTGTCAGCCAACTTTTAAACGATGTCAGTTGATTCAAGAAAATTTCCCTTGTAAAACAAAGAAATTATCATAGTCAAATTTTCTGAAATGTCTCACTGCTTGAACTGTTTACAGAGACAGCTTGCTCTGGCTATGAACTCGGCATGCTATTAAAATTAAGCCTACCCACAGCACAAAAGCTAGACCATTCTGAGGCAACCGTCGCTGATTTTGCACCACCATGAAGGAAGTTACATGTTCTGTGGTCCATAGAAGTGGTAGATGGCCTACACATGGCGAGTTTACACACTTACATGCTCAAATGGCTTAAGCAGCATTTTATGCCACATTTAACCCTAATTCAACAGTTCAGTCTACTATTGTATAACTAACTGCATATTGTGACTGGTGTTATGAAAAAAATTGATTATAGAAATCTATCAAACAATATTTAACTCACATTTTTGATAGATTTCTGTTATGTATTTTTTTCACCAGTCACAATCAAATCAAATATTTAGTATTTCTGTCTAAATTTACACCAAACTTGTATGAATTTTATGTCTTATGTGAAACCCAAAAGAAGATATTTTTTAAGAATATTGGTAACCAAACCATTTCTCAAAAAAATCTTCTTTTATGTTCCAGAGAGGAAAGAAAGTCATACAGGCATGGATCAATGAGAGGGTGAGTAAATGTTTTTCTTTAAGCATTAACAGTAAATAGTTTGTCCCTTTAAATTACAAGAATATATATCTGGTGTGAAAATACAGTTCACATGCAAAGAACAAAGTTAGCTTTTGCTAGATCTTATGTAAGCTAGATTAACATTTTTTTCAGATAGGAAAATATTCACATAGTAGTTCAAGATTTGAACAGAAAGCAAAAATAATATGTATAAGAAAGATTATAGTCATTTACCTTGTTGTTCCAATATGAAAACAACCACACTTATTAAGAATAAGAAGGAAAAATCCATAATGCTTCTTTCCAAAGATGCTCAGAACATTAATTGGCAAGCCTGTCTCCTGGATGTCTACCCACAGGAAGAGAGGAAAGCTGTGAGGGGAGAGAGAGCAGGTTGTGGAGTTTCTCAGAAACTTCTGCCACTCTCTAAACACCTCCAGCCTACCACACCCTCCTCCCCCCATCTCCCTCTTTGGATCAGCCTGCCAAGTTGTTCTTCACAATGCTAAGGACAGGTGTTTGACAAGACTCATTGTATGCGAGTGTCAGTGTGAGAGAGGGAGAGATTGTACTCTTTGTTTGGATATATGCTCTAAATCCAGTGGAAACATTTGTGAAATAAGGTATCTCAACATTGTTTGTTTCCATCAAGTGCTTCCTTCCAACATGGTCAAAGATTATAAACGGATGGATTGAGTTCCACTTCATGGGTGAGCTGGCATCTCATGGGAATTTTTGCGCACTCTTGTTTTTTCCTTCCTGATGCTATGTTAGGAATGGAGGCTTGAAGAACAAAGTCAAAACTACAGCCTGGAGAGGAAACCCATCTTTTTCAAAGTAGAAAGCCTAGACAGACCAGGTCTTTTCCCCAAACCAAGGGAAGCCCATTGTGGTAAACCTCCATCTTAATTAAAACAATAAAAAGCCAATTGAAACATCTCAATGTAAGCATCTGCGTGCCAGACTCTCTTAACTGTGGAGGGTTCCTCTAACTGGTTAAACATTGTCTGCAGTTCAGAAACGGTTCTTGCTCTCATTTTTGGCAATTCCTTCCATTATCATCTCAAATTTGGTGAAAATTCGTGTGACACGCGCTCCACTGCACAAACAGCCTAAGATATGAACTGTGGCGTGAAAGTTGTTGAGAATGGTCCTCAATGGGGCCTGTCATTTAATCACAAGGGGGGCAAAGTGATGTATTCTATGCAGCACCACAGGGGTTGGGTTATTTTTTTTCCCACCCGTACTTCTATTTAGCTCACTTTTTGACTTCTCATTAGTACAGATTAGGCTTAGTTTTGCATTCAGGAGAGATAATTAAAGGCTGAGCACAACACAAAACAACATATTTGGTCACAGAGCCCCTGGCTACAGCAATTAGATCTGTGAGGTGAGGTGCTGTGGAGGAGGAAGGAGAACTTCAGAGCTCCAAACGGCTTCTTCCTGCAGCTGTGGGAGAGGCATAATGAACAGTTTGACAGACTGTCTGAAAAAATGCTCATGCTTCTGAAATTGAACTGTGAACTATGGGACACAGCCCCACTACTGTATATGCAAGTTCAACTGATACTTTAATGTGAATTCAATCTAAGTGTTGTTTTTTGTTTTATTCAAGACAATATTACAGGCTTGATCTTTGGCAGAGGACAACAGTGTGAGGACATTTTTTGCCAGTCTTTGTTGCTCTATCGCATTTCATATCACATTACATTAACGCTTTGTTTTTATTTGATAAAAATTTTTTTTTTATCTTTTGTAGCAAAATAAACGTGCTGAGTAAGTGCTTATTAAACTAATAAAATAGTGAGACTTTGGCTAACTGCTCAAAGTGTCAAATGCATGCAGAATCGCTGACTAAATCAATCAGTAAATCAATAACTTTTCTGTTTTCACAGAACACTGACCCCTATACGAGAAGAAGGCTTTATAAACTTTTCAACAGAATTATTATTAGCTTGCCAAGCAAGCCTGAAACAATCTGTTCATGATTATCCATCCTAGAGCCAGCAAATGCATTAAAAGTAAAATATTATTGAGAGAAGACAATGATTAAGCTAGACTATCTCTTAAAATACGTTTGCTCCTGAAAACCAGTACCTTCATATGCACAGGTGCAGTGTTTTACACACTCCCCTGGACTTTCACTGACCCTCGGCTGCACTTCCTCCTTTTTTTTTTTTTTGCAGGATTCGACCACATTACCTGCTGAGGTATGCATCAATAATCAATGATCAACAATTACTTGTTTCAACCAGACTCTTAATTTCTATTCTTTATCTTTGTAAGACTAATAAGAGTCGTTACTTGTGTGTGTTATGACATGTACAGTTCTGCTACATATTAACTTTAACATCAACACACACACACGCACAATTAAATTATATTTGTGAAGAATTTTATTGGTGTATTGAAATGAATTCATTTCAGTTTCATAAATCATGTTTTGCATACGCATACAGATACTCTTTAAAAATAATTATTAAAAATAATCAACGATTTCAGACATTAGGCATTGGCAGTGAACGTGAAATCACTTCCTACAATGGGCGATTGATCAGTGCTGCGTTCAGTCCCGGCAAAACGTTGCAAAACTTTTTTTTAATTGGAAACGGTGGTGTGTTGAACACCCTGTTATGATGACGCAAGAGTTGCAAGTATGGCAGCTGAGAAGGCCATTCTTTGTGTTCTTTTTGAAGAATTTTCGGAGCCTGATGAAATCGTTATAAATATGTGTTTAATTCTGCAAAATACACTGGATGTTAAAGTCACTGCCCTTGCCGTCCAGAGTAAAAGACACCTTTGTAAATGACTTTACTTGGACCCATTGTGCGAGCTGTCTCTTTAATACCGTGTGGTTTATATACGTTGCTGCTGATTGGCCTGACATTTTTGACACACCCACCAAACAAGAAAAAACTTATTTCAAACCCTGTTGCACACCGTTTCCAGGAAACATGTCGCTCAACCCGGAAACCATAGCAAGACGTTGCGCACCGGTTTGAGCTTGAACGTGCCCCAGGTTTAACAGAAAAAAAGGGGCACTCTATGACTCCACCTAGTGTTCAGATGTGGGGTTTAGATGAAGCGTCCAAACTACAAGCTTGTTACTTAGGCGTACAGTATTTGTAAAGGTAGGTATCTTAATCAAACGAAAATGAGTACATTTTGAAATTTTGTTTCACCTGTTGGTCAGCACAATGGATAAAAAAGGTTTTATCCATTCCTCCATTCCTAATGTTTTTCCCTTTTTAAAGAAGGTGAGAGATTCCCGCGCAAAGCAGCATTTTAGAGTGAGACAGAGCTTCAGTGTTTTACCTCAAATATTTGGAAAGCCCAGTCATACATAAAAGCAGGTTTGGTTAATGCCCACATGAATTTAAACTACAGTGGGCATAAACCATGTAGGTAAATATGTACATTAACTGTGGTAACTCAGCTTATGTTTATATTATGTAATAGAACATGCAGTCCCATCACTTGCTGTCATGACCCATATAATTATTTAGATCTTCATTAAATTTTGGACTTACAGCATATTACACACATATTATAATGTTATATTTATCTTCAGGCCCTAGTGTGCGTTAATTACTGATTTAAAGACACATTCTTTATTTAATTTGTGTACAGCAACAATATAGTTTAAGTAAAAAGCTCTGATAATGACTGGCTAACTGTACATTATGCTTATTAATGTACATTAACTGTACTACTTTTGTAAAATAAGTAATATTACATTACAAATACAGCCTAAGTCTATTGTAATTTCCTGGGATTAGATTCTTTGTGCTGGATTTTGGATTTCAGTTCTGAACTTCTGAATAATTACAAAGGTTTTTAAAGAATCATAAGTTAAGACTAATGTTTTTTACTGTTTTGTCAGAAACTATGTACTGTAAATAAGTGCAAAAATGCATCAGCTTGTCACAGGTCAGGAAGAGCTAATGCTTTCTTCTTTCCAAAGTGAAACATAATGTATGAGCACATGGTAGTCTTACTGAAAGTGCTGCTAACACAGGTCTACCACATCCTGTCTCATGTTCTAGCGCTGGGCTTGGACACACATTCTCAGGGAAATTAAATGTGATTTATTGCTGATTATCCCAGCTGGAAACCTGGGAGCCGGACGCATAGAATAAAATAAGCTTGGTGTCATTTTTATTTTTTCAATCTGAGACACTTTCTTACTGAAAACCACACATTTTATCTTTGATTACAGAGTGAATGCTGTTCCACACGGGCCTGTTGGGTGACTGTTCCAGACAGCACTAATGGAGAGGTGGTGACTTTTATAGGAAGTTGCTTTTGAGAGGGTGTCAGCCATCATTTTGATCCCAGATAGCATGAGAGCTTGTCAGGTACCGATTTGTCTGCTTTATACTAAGAACTTCTTGAACCTTTCAAACCTAATGAAGGTTCACTACAGCCTTGGGGCCAATAATTTGTTTGACGTTTAACCAAAACTTTCTTTAAAGAGAGAGCTCACCCTAAAATGAATATTTTTTAAACAATCTTTAGAAGTTCTCAACTATGAGACTTTCTTTCACTGACCTCAAAAAGAGATTTTATTTACACTTTTTTGTACACTGGAAGTGAACGATAATCAGAAGCTATTAAGCATCAAGAATGGCAAAAAATAAAATGAAAAAAAATAACTACCATAACAGTATTCCATAATAACTGGGCATATGGTAAGCTTCTATGAGGAACAATGAAATTTAAGAAACTTTACAGCCCCTGGTCACCATACACTTTCATTGTATGAAAAAGAACAGCTTATACATTCTGCTAAACATCTCTATTTGGTTTTCACAGTTATGTATATAATGATATGACATTCATAAATGATAACATAATTTTTTTGGGTTGAATGCGTAAAAATTATTTTTCAAAATCGTAAATGGAACAAAGATTATTGAGGTAAGTTTTACAAGAAAATACTATTCAGTCTTTCTGTTTCAAAATTGTAAACACACATATTTTTAGTGTATTACAAAATGACGTCATAATTCTAATTTATAGTGAAATGAAAATAGCACCTGTATACATCCCTCTGCATCCATCCACTAAAGCTGCTAACGAGTTCATGGATGCTTTAATTTGTTAAATGTGACAATCTGTACATCAGCATTTTAATTGTTCTGATAAATCCATAAAACCACTTATGGAGCATACGAATGAGATAAGACAACAAAACTAATTAAAGGTTAGGCAGAAGATAATTATGTTATTTTTGAGCTGAATCACAGTAATTACGCAACCAGAAAAACACACGTTGGTCAACTGCATCTTGAAATACCGAAAAGATTTTGAGGCTATATTTAGATAATTGGGCTCTTTAAGAGTTATTGGCCAATTTCTCTGAGGGGTAACATTGGAAGTAGTGGTTACAAATGCAAATTTTGTCTAATGACTTACCTCTCTAGATTTTTTCTTTGTATGTATATATATATATATATATATATATATGTGTGTGTAGGTGTGTGTGTTGCTTAAAACACACACACAGACAATAATAGACAAACTTAACAAAAATTTGTTTTAACTCCTGTTCATACAAAAACCTCACATAATTATTACAATATCTGAAAAAGAACATCTGATATGGTTTTAGTACTGTGTATATACAGTTTACTGTAAACAGCATGCTAAATATTTTTACACTGTGCTAAAAAAGTGCAATTGGCAGTTTGCAATTTATGAGACCATCAGTGTACAGCAAGATGACGACAAAGCATTCTAATTATAATGGACTATCAGAGGGTGGGCAGCCCTACAGTGCTCAACTGGATCAAAATGCGTCAGCTCTGCAAGAACAGTACTCTGTGTCTGCCATGGCTTACTGGGTATGCCTTGGCTGAAGGCAGCCTGAGAGCCACTTAATAACAGCGAAGAACAGATTTTTCACCATATGCCATGCAGGTCTTGCTGGGCTCGCATCTACCCCTACTATGCTACTGCCTGCCTGATCACTTCCTCCCTGCCACCGTACATTACACGTCTCTATTCCACTCGAGTGTGGATATGTCCATAATGTACAAGATACGATCAAAGGCAAACCTCCAGGAGAAGATTAGGCACAGCTAAACATCCTCTCCTGGCTCCTGCCCTGCGAAAACATGACGCCTTTGAGGCCATCGGTGGAATGATTTAGAGTTCTGCATTAATGGTTCTCCTGCGCTTGGCCGGACTCTTGCTCTGTCTCCTTGGCCCTAGTCTATGGATGGAAAGTAACCTCTCTGTACAGTATGTACCTGCACGCCTACAGCTTTTCCACAAGCCACCAAAGCAAAACTGATGTTGTTCTTTCCCCAAGTGTTTCCAAATGAATCACTTTTAAAGGTGGCAGCGGTGATCGCAGTTTAAACTTATCTGACTAGAAAGCAGCTTTCCTCTGTCTCATCCTTCCTTCTGATGTTTTTTTATTGAACTTTTTAACTTTATTTTCTCAGGAGACTGCCACACTTCATTCAGCATGCCATTGAGCTATGTAGCAAAGATATTAACATAATGGGAAGTCTGCAATGTGTTGAAACTACAAACCAATCAGGGTTTGAAGCAATGCAATAGAAGAATCCTTTTGGGTGGCCCAAATAACCTTTCTGTTAACGGTTCTTAAAAGAACCATTTTTTTTCTTAGTGTACAGAACATTTCAATAATCTGAAGAAACGTTTCCCACTGAAATGGCAATGGAAATATTCCAATGAATTTGTCTTTCACCCCACCCTGCTTTTAACATCTCCCATGGATAATAGAGCTGACAGTACAGAAATTCAGTGACTTACAAGCGAAAAGGCTACAAAGTCATCTTGCACTATATGACAGTAACATTCCATCAGCTGAACACATGATGCATGTCAGCAGAGAAGCAATTAGTACAAATCTCTGAGGAAGTACTTCCATGATAAGAGAGAGAGAGAGAGAGAGAAATTGGAACGTTTTACAGAAGCCCTTCAGCCCAAGAGAATGCTGGAGGGAACAGACCGTAAACAGTGCAATAAGTCTGACTTTGAGACCGTCGCTGTCTCCTTTACATCTGCTTCTTATTATGACTCAGAAGTTCCAGCCAAGCCATATATGTTGGCCCTCTCAATAAACAGAGAGGCCCAGCCAAGTATGGTCAGTATGGTGAACCACATCACCTAATGATCCACTCCTTTAGTGCTTACTATATCTTATTTACAGGTACAGTATGTGCCTTAATGACCACTGATAGCAAACATAGACACAAGTTGCCTATCTGCATTTGATCACTGGCATATTTCATACCTGATACCTTGATTTATAGTTCAGGCCAGTATAATGTAGCTAGGTAATGATGTTGATTTAAAAAAATTAATTAAAAATAATAATAATAATAATAATGAATAAAAATAAATGCAAATATTTTGGACCCTGTTTTTATCTTTTAAATATATTATTATTTTTAATCATTTTAATTTGTATTTTGTAATGTACCAAGTTAGAAGGCTATCTGTGTAATTTACAGTACTTGTTGAGAGAGAATTATCATTAAGTCTGTTATGCTGATCAAGGCTACATATTATTACAGTATAAGCTGTTATATATTTTAAAATGTAATTTATTTCTGTAATGCATAGCAGTGTATTTTCAGCATTATTACTCCAGTCTTCAGTGTCACATGTTCCTTCAGAAATCATTTTAATATGCTAATTTTGTGCTCAAATACATTTCTTATTGTTATCAGTGTTGTGCTGCGTAACATGTTTGTGGAAACTGTGATAAAAAAAACGTTTTTAATTCTTTAATGAGTACAGCATTCAAAAGAACTGAATTTATTTGAAATACAAATTGTAACATAAATGTTTTTATTTTGAATAATTTTAAGCATCCTTTCAATCAATAAAAGTATCAGAAAAAAATAGTAGATCTGACTAACATTAACAAGTTAAACATTGCACAAGCTATGCATTTTTAAAACATTAAAGTTATGTCTGTTCTGCGTTGTACTGTTCATGTACAGTATAGGAAAAAACACATTTCAGTCCTAAACCAACAGATGGCAGTATGTCTTAAAGAAAAGATCAGGATGCAGACTTTGTTTTACACACACTGTAACAATACAGCATGTGGCTATGACATACTGCCGATGTGAGAAGTTTGAAAATGCACTAAATTTAGCTTGAGACCTGTCAGTAAGTTTCTATAGAATTCTCTCCAGACGTGATCTTTTTATGCTCAGGGTCTATCAGAGATGACATCCGGTCACCTCCAGCATGAATAAAACTGTGTAGAAACATTGACTACACATGGAAAATGTGGGCTGTGGTTTTCTTTTCTTCTTGGCAAAAGACTGCCTTAGTTAAAAAAAAAAAAAAGTTAACTGTTCCAAACATATGTTCCCATGGAAGGGGGCAGCACTTTGGGTTGGTCCCCCAACCTATGTGCAGACCTAACATACTAATAATCAATTATTTTCTCCACATTCAATCTGTATAGAGGCGGGTTAGATATAAAACAGCAGAGGAAAATATGTCATTCTGGTTAAATAGATCACAAACATTTATTGTAGCTGGAGTATACCAGTTAATTCTGCATCAGTTTGAACAAGGCTGCTGCTATTTGTTGAGACTTTTAAAAGTGCAATTATGGGTGGCATTGCCAGTGGTATCTGTGCACTTGTATAGAATTCTGCTACACTCATTTTTATGACAGAAATCGAGTTTCTGCTTGCACTGTAAAAATATTGTTGCATAAGACTGTATTGTGCAACCATTCTATATAGGGAAGCGTGGGAAATGGTTCATTAATAGGGAGGAGGCCATGTCACATTTCTCAAAACACTCTCAGAGTTCCTCACATTGTTCAGGAAGAGCAATTCCATTCTTAAGTTAAACAGTAATGGATACGTCATATGACACCACATGATTAATGATGAATGGATGACATCTTATTTTGAGAATAATCAAGAATGGTAAAGAAATGAAAACCTGCGTAATGCTAATGATAATACTATTTCAGAAGTACTGTGCTATTGACATAATTTCCCCCTGTAATATGTGCACATGATCAGTTTTTGGATGATGTGGTAAAAGGTTAATCTGCTGACAAATGGCCTTAAAGACTGTTTGCCAGACATGAAGATTTTACAGGAGCACACTGCTTCTGATACAACAATGTATTTCTAATCAGAGAGGCTCAGCATCCATGTTAGTTGATATGAAATGTTAAATGTACAAGTTTTGTGCAAAATGTGTGGCTATTTTAGCCAGTTCTGATGTTGTATAAGATGATGATGAAATTTGCATGGACCAAAAGTTGTGTAGATTGGTAGGAAAATATTGTAGGTTCAAGATCAACCTTCCTTTAAAACTTGAGTATGCAAATGTTCACATCAGTGACTATAAATTTACAACTACTTTTCTTACTGTTTAGATTACAAATAATTTTAAAAGACTGATAAGACTGTTAAAAAAATAAATGAAAGCAAGATTGATGGGTTGATCTAATTGGTAGATGCACAAAAGATGTCACATCAACCTATTTGTGTCAACATGTATTAACATTGTGGTGATACAGTTTTCATGTACAGTCAGGCAGAACTACTAAAATTAGCAATGCAAGATGCTTTGTGTACTGACAGATTCAATCTGATTGTGCATCTGATCCTTTTCAAATTCTTCTTTTTGTCCTCTCCTTTCCTCACCCCTCTTTTTTACATAAATTGAAAGAGAATTTGAGAATTCTTATTTTGTGCCAGTTTCCTGGAAAAGTAAAGAAGCATTAAAACACCCCGGACATGCAAAGTTATCATAGTTGTATTTATTTGAAAACAGCAATCTGTATTTTTTTCACCTGTGCTGTGATTTGTCAAAACTGATATTGTACATATTGGTTTTCCACTGAAAATCACAAAGTTACCTTTTTTATTTTTATTATTTTTAATTATGTTTGTCTTTTATTATTTTTGTCTGTTTCAATACAATGATTTGTGCTTTTGATACCTTAGGTTTGAAAGACATGTTAATACAGTTAAGTGGATAGCAGGGACTACTGACAAAAATGTCAAAGGAGTCAATTACATAGATCATATACACACAATACAAAATACAGATATACACACAAGTGCACTGGCTCCATACTCCAGTTCAGTTAGGTTGCTTCAACTCAAAACATATTCCAAAAAAAGATTTTTTTTTATTTCCAATCCCAGTTCTAAAAGTGATATAATTTGGGATTCGTTAGGACGGTTTAGGAAACATAAGGTGCATTTTAGGAGTTCTCAGTATTGGAGTTTTTGTATGTACATTTATAAAAGTGTTTAAGGACTGATGACGTGGCCCTTGATGAACTCCATCAATGTGTGAATATGTATGGCTATGAGAGTATACAGAACCATAGGCATCCGATATTTACATCTGTTGGAATGTTCCCCATACTAATCATCAACAAGTCAAGTACTTCAAGCAACATAATTCACAGAAGATCAAAATACCTTTCACATCTACCTCAATAAGTGGTGGAGGAAATGCAGAAGTGCGAAAGTTGATTCACTTAATGCTTAACAGTTCTACATTTAAAATGTGAACGGTGAAATCACAACTAGTGTAGCCTACCAGCCAATAGGAAAGAGAAGGGTACAAGCACTTAGAACCAACTACCATACTGTATGTGGGTGTCAATCTAAAACATGTGCAGATATATCGTTTTTCTGTATACTAGGTATATAAACATTTACTTAAATTATATAGAATTCTAAATAAAGCGAGTTTACTGAGAAGTATATGCACACATACTTCGAAATATATAAAGCCATATTACATGTACATCATTTTTTGCTCTAATTATGCAATAGCAAAACTCATGCTTTACATAGAAAAGGCATCCACAACATTAAGAAAAATTTACAATTTATGAAACATGATACAATAAATAGTATTATAGAATCGCTGCTGTACACAAAAGCCGTTTAATTTCACACATATAAAAATATGTTTTAGTGCAACCTTACATGTATTGATACTTCACATCGTTCAGACCGAAAGTGTCCAAAAAAGACGGTAAATTGCATTTATTACAAAGCGGAATACACAAAACTCGATATATATTTACGTCTTCCTGTTTAATGCTTATAAGAATATAAGCAAAAAGTAAAGAAAAGGCACACACATCTGTACATTTTTTAAAAGTACCAGACAAAGTCCATAAGCAATTTTGGTCAGGCTCATATATAAGTTAACACATATATATTTAGATATATGTATATTCTTTGAAACTTTAAATAAGAAAGTAATTATAGTTGAGATAGCAAACCGTGTTATAAAAGGCATGCTATACATGTACATTAAAACCACTGAATCAGACTGATTTTCTGTGTGTACATGGATGTACATGTGTAAATATGAAATGTGTGAGCGTAATTTACCACTCTCCCTTCAACCTTGTTCACCTGTTGTTAATAGTGTCTTTTAAATCTTTGCCTTTCTTTATGGTCACTGGCCTCTCTCCACGGCCCTGTTGGCCAGACGCTCGCTCTGCCATCTCTGTGTTGTAGAGAGTGGGATGGCTTGCTGTGGGAGTCTTTGATGTGGCAGACACTCTGCTCTCTGCTCTGGAGTGTAGGGGGTGACTGATCTCTGAGCTGCAATAGTGCTGCGCTCTTGGTGCACAGTCTTGCTGAGTTGCGGGTGAATGAGATAATGTGTGCTGATGGTAAGGATCAACTGGAACTGTCGATTTTTCGGGATTTTCTTCGGAGGCGATGCACAGCGAGGCGATCGCCTTAGTGCACGTTTGGATGCACTCTTCCTGCTTGCTCTCCTTGTCGGACATGTCAGCGCTGTCCTCTCGTGACCTTTGTGAGGAAGGTGATGCAGCCTTGGGGGACATGGATTTTTCGTGGGACTGGGGTGAGTCTTCTGGGCCTCTGCTGGTGGACCCTCTACCCTCGGAAAGGTGGAAGGACACCTCGCTGGTGCTGGACTCCTCCGAAGTGCTCTTCTGCAGGGGAAGGCGTGTGGGGTGGGCATGACCAGTGACAGAAGTGGGCACAGAATGTACCATCTGGATGCCGCCAATGGGTATCATGGAGAACGGAGTGCGGCTCTGTTGCTGGGAGTGCAGGGGAAGGTGGCTAAATAATCCCTGGTGGACATTGGGGCCATCTGCATTGCGAGCCTCCCCTTGAAGATGCGATGTCTTTCGCTGGTCCTAAACAGTTGGAAGATATGGTTAATTTACATGACAAAATATTCCTAGAAAATCGTGAAGGCAGTGTTTAAATAAATCCTTGTGAAGCTAAATACACCTTAGGTGATAAGATTAGCCAAGGATTCTTGAAATACTTGTCTGTTATTCTGCTTATCTGGGGCTTGTTTCTCAGTTATTTAAACTGGACCTCTTGGAAAGTTTGGAAAATTTAACAAGACCGCAACGAACAAAAACAACAGTTGCCAGTAAAAAGGGCCAAGCTTACATAATAGACCTTGCTCGTTTATCTTATTATCCCCCTAGCTCTATGGTAACAAGCCAGGTAGCACTGAAATGAATTACTATACTGCATACACTGTATAGGCACTGCAGTTATCCACTTTCTCCAGGGAGTTCTTAATTAACTAGTATACAATATAAATTGAAATGCTCCATTCTGTTGTATGATGGCAATTTGTTTGTTAGAGACATTAACTGACTACCACTGCAATTTACTTGTCCAAACTTGTATACTTGAGCATAGTATACTTTACTAAGGATCCAACATACTGTATTGCTGGCTATTGCCTTTCCTCTGGCATATCGTTATTATTACTCTTCACTTTGAACAACAATGAATTTTTATTCCTCAACTCACCAAACCTAGCACACATGTAAAGAATGCAGGCTGTGTAATTTTAAGATTCGATATGGTTGCCTAGCTAGTGAACTGTTTACAGCTATATTAATTTTGATTTGTTTTAGAAAAGTTAATAATGAATGGAGATATAAAGTTTTAACTGTTTATGAGGGAAATATAACTTACCAGCTCCAGCTCTGCATGGCTTTTGGTCTTTTGGCTTAATGATATCATCTCTGCATGTGGGCTGGGGTTGTGCGCCCATGGGCCGATTTGATAATGGAGACCCCTCCTGGGGGACACAGGTCTGATCATGCCCCTACAGCTTCTGGGAGAAAGTCTGCCTGAGAGATCCCTTCCTGGGGATGTCGGCCGTCCTGTCTGGGAGATGGGAGAGAGATGTCCTCTTGGAGAAAGGTCTCTCCTTGGTGACAGATCCCTTCTATAAACATCCCGCCTGGGGGAGATATGCCTGAGGGGAGACGCTTCTCGCCTTGGTGACAAACGACCACGTGGGGAGAGGTCCCTTCGAGGGGACAGATATCGCCTAGAGGAAGGTGAGCTTTCTCGCAGAGGGGAGGAATCACAGCCGGGTGAAGACAGACGGGAGCAGGAGAAGTCAAAGGAGGATGAGCTGTGTTCTGGAGAGAGAGCCAGGTCTTCATCCATAGAGCTAGGCACATCCAGTCTATTTTTGTGATCTTCACCCAGAGCCCCTTGAAGGAGCTTCTGATATTCAGCCATCTGGGCCTCTCCAGCTTTCTCACTGGGTGCCATGAGTTGGGTGATCTGAATACTGGGCAGACTAGTGAAATAAGTGAAAAGAGGCTGTTTGGAGACAGAGGCCAGAGGCTCTGGTGTGGATTCTTGTGAAGCGGCGACTGCAGTGATGGAGAGCGAGGGGATGGCACATGGCTGTGGACTTGTGCTTCGGGACCGTGTCTTCGGCGTTGAATCACCATCATACTCGTCATCGTCATCCTCATCTTCATCAACTTCATCACCATCCTCTTCAGCACCCTCTGAGTCATCAGCGTCAGAGAATTGGTGCTCTGCCATTATCTCTGACATGCTAATCTTTTCTGATGCTCTTTGGACCTCCTCAGTGGTATCTGGAAAAAAGTACAATAACACATTTTCTCAGTTGACTTTCACTGGTTAATCAACATTGTTTGAGGTGTTTTAATAGCAAGTTGTGTTTATTTTATTCCTAAATATCAGCTGGCCTAGAAAGGTTGCTGGGTTTCTTTGATAGAACATGCAATCACAATGGGGGAAAATTTTTTTTTTATTTAGAAATATTTTTAACACTGGCAGTAGAAGGTTTTTGTTTTTAATTAGGCTAATTTTCCTGTACTAGTACTACTTCCAGATGCCAACATATATTGCAATATTGGCTCCTCTAAATAAAATGTATCCAGAATCTGAATCATACCTGCTTCAGTGTTAATTTCATCAACAAAGATGACGAGGAAAAATATTCGTTGACAAACATTTTTTCTGTGACTAAAACGAGACGTTGACAAGCTAAAACTAATATCTGATGATAAATCTATGCCGAAATTAATGCCGTGTCTTCGTTAACAAGACAAGATGGGACTATAATGTTATTTGAGGACTACCGGACATACAAAATACATGGTATAGGCTACTGCCTTGCCCTTCAAAATGTCCGTCCCAGTCATTGGATTGCAATCGGATAAGGGGCGTTTGCATATCTAGTCTCAGTATGGCAGCCGCAGTGGATGGATAGGCTACCAAAATGTGAACTAGCGATCTGAAACAATGGCCTCAGCACCCGAAGGGGTAGGGATAAGGTGACCAGACATCCCGTTTTCCCCGGGAGTCACAGTTCGTTGTCGATTAACTTAAAGTTAGTAAAGGCGGGATAGGTGGAATTGCGCTGATAGAAGTGCTCTCTCTTGCGCACGCTCCACTTCTTCAGTTCTCATATACAGCGCGCGACCAGTTCTCAGTGGTCAAATCCTAGACTGTAAAAAAAGACTCAAATACACACACAGCAGTCCAAATGTCTATCGTGTAGAGTATCTCACTTAAATACAGTCGGTTATGGATTAAGTGAACGTAAACAGGTGGGTGAAAATTGAACGTGTGTCAGTATTGCATGCATGCCTTTCATCTTAAAGAGACAGCATTCCTAATTAAGCACCTATCCGTGTCATTAATGTTAACAAAAGATGTTAAATAAATATATTAAGTAAACCTACTGTATCTGAAAAATGAGTTTGATTTGTATCTTTTTCCTATTTGTCTTGTCTTATTCTGCTTCTTTTTCAAAAAATTATAAATTATATATATTATACATGAACAACTATAATTTTTATAAGTTGCTCCCTTTTCACTACTGTTAAAGGGATAGTTCACCCAAAAATGAAAATTGTCATCATTTATTTAAGTTTTTCCAAATTCAATCCTTGATTCAAATTTCTCATAAGCTTAATTGATTTGGTCTAAAGAGAGAAGAATTAATGACTATTTTTGTTTTAACACTACATGTAAAATAGCTACCAAAATAAATGTTGGTAACTGCAGTTTGACTAAAAGTAATGACTAAAAGTTGACAAAAATGCAATGATTTTTCGTCGATTAAAACTAGACTAAAACTATGAAGGACTCAAATGACTAAAATGTGACTAAGACTATTAAGCATTTTCATCTCAAGATAAAGACTAAGACTAAATCAAAAATGCCTGTCAAAATTAACACTGACCTGGTTCTTCTGCTTCCGTCTCATCCACCGATGTCACTGACACACCAAGCTCTAAGCACTTTTTGATGTGAGCTTTTGACTTCATGTGTTTCGTAAGGTTTCCTGAAAACAGATTTTAAAGTGTTTGAATTACTTGCATTGGCATGCCCAAAATAATGTCTAACCTGCAATTTATTCTGATTAAATAGTACAGATATCATCTGTTGTTCAGTGTGGTACAAACAGATGTTTTATAAGTCTACAAAAAGTACAAAAATCATGTTTTTTAATCAAATTGTATAATGTTGTTTTTAATGTTATGTGTGCTTTTGTATATATTGGTTATTGGAAATGTATGAGAAAACCCACCTTTTGTTTTAAAAGCAAAGTTGCAGAACTTGCAGACATATGGCCTGACATCTGTGTGTGTGCGAATATGTTTCTTCAGCATGCTTGGCTTTTTACAGCGGATCCCACACTCCTCACAGATGTACTTTCCCCGGCCTCGACCACGCACATAAACATAGTCTTCATTGGATTTGTACCTGAAATATAAACAAGGCAAGGGTTATTAACATTACTGGAAGATATTAAATATATTGGTTAATGCTGATGTGAAATGATATCACATACATCAAAAATCTCACATTATATATTTAGTTTCGTTTGAAATGAAAACATTTTCACAGCTGTATCAATTTAAGTTTTTTCCCTGCACAGGATAATATTATATGGAGCACCCAATGAGATACCATACCATGTAGTTGTATACATTCCAGGTACTTGTGTTCAACAGATTTAGGCACCATGAATGAAATTGTATGTTGATAGATAGTTGTAGTTTGATTCATCAGCTCCTAATATTTGTTTCCTAGCAGCAGTAAACTTTTAATTGCATTTTAGAAAAGAGGAAGTCCCATCTTGTACAAAGAATACTAAGTTATGTGTTGGAAAATAAACACATCTTCACATACCCTCCTTCAAAGATTTTGATGCGAGTGGGTTCAGCCTGCTTTGAAGAAGCTTCTTTCTCTCCGTGGTCTTCTTTCCCCCTGTCTCTTAGGCTGATTCCCTTCATTTTCTTCCCAAACTTTCCAACATCCAACTGTATGATCTCTGGCTTCAACTGGAAATGTAAACAGAGAAGAGATTGAATAATGAACCCTAAAACTGTAAGCATAAAACATAAGCAACATAAGTTGGTCTGTGCATTTTCTTGTAATTAATTTTTGATCATCTTGATCATTTAAAAATGAGCAAAGGCAACTTATGTTTCAACTCGTGCATATTTCGCTAATTTATATTATCTGTCTATACAAATTACAATTAAAATCTGCAATGTTCTGAAATTAATATTTATTTACAAAAATCAATGGAATTAAATATATATTTTGTGTAAATGTTTTTTCTTTTAAATTAAATTAAATGAAATCTCTTTTTTTAATTTGTGTGTGTTTTTAGGAGAAGTCGGGACTACCTGCGCAAACTTTTTTTTCCAACGGAGGGACGAAACAAGTTTTCCAGTGCCAGGTTGATACATAGCAGCCATTGTATACATTTCTGTGTTCTTCCTCTGTTTTGACCGAAGAAGTGCCAAGGTGGCCTTGGTGCTGAGGTTGAGTGGGTTTGGGTTGTAAGAGCTGACGCACCAAGAACCATACACAGAGGTTAGGGGAGTCGTGTGTGCGTAATTTGGCTTGGTATAATTTAGGAAGCACCAGCTGACACTGGTTGGTGTACGAAGACTTGGGAATTGAAAAAACTGATGGACATCTGCCAGGTCAGTGAGCAGGAGAGTGCTACCAACAACTCCACCACCCTGATTGGCAGCTAGCTGCACCAGCATGTTTACTGGGAACTTGTTACCCATGTTCTGCTTAGATTCTTCTTGAGTATCACTTGAGGAGATCACTAATTGTGGGCTTGAGCTTGCCTCTGGGGTAGACTCATCTACATCAAGCTCTTCTGGGGAATCTGCTCTGCTAGCCACGTTTGTAATAATTTGCAAGGGTGGAATGAAGTTGTCTTTTGGTGGCACATCAGGTAAACGAGGTGCAGATGGGTACCCAAGGAATTTAGATGACAGGAAATCAGTGGGTGGAGATGAGGACATCCTCTCTTGTTCATCTATGGAGTCATCTCTCTTTGAAAATTCAGGTTTGGGGGGCTTATCTTTCTGTGCACTGGAATTGCTTAGCTCAACTGCACTAAGCTCTTTTACTATCTGGCCATACATCTTTTCTTCCTTGACTCGTTTCTGTTGTTTGGTTTCAATAAAAAGCTCAAGACTGCTGGCTGGTGACAACATTCTCTTACTCCCCCCAATACTAGAGGAAGCATCTGTAGTAGAGATAGTTCCTGATGTCAAAGACAAAGGAATTCCTGTATTAAGGTTCCCAGGTAAATATTCAGGTACTTTCCATATTGGAATATTTAAGGACCCTTCTGAATGTCCTAATATTTTGGATAAATTGATGCCTACGTGGTGCTTTGATGCAGTGCCTGTTAGTGAAACAGTGGACACATTGTCTGTGCCTAAAACTCTGATAGAAGGTGTGCTCTGAGAATGAGTGACAAGGATTTGTGAAACACTTGTATACATAACACTACCATAAGATGGCACATTTGTCTGGATTCTGACTGGTACCAACATTCCAGGGAGTGATGATTGTGAACCTACATTTTGAGTAGCAAAGATAGGCTGAACTTGTTGTAAGAAGCTTGTAGTCAGCACTTTAGATGACAAGACCCCAAGTTGCTGTGGGGAGGCTCTTGAAGGATATGGATAGTTGTGACTTACCCCATCGGTTTTTGAGTCTGTTTGCACCTGAATTTGATGAGGAGGTTGGTATGGTTTTTGTAGCATGGGCTGTAGATTTGGCTGTTTGATATGTAGTTTCTGTAATTGTTGTGCCTGGAATGCCAGGTGCTGCTTGTTTCTTTGTGTTGATTCAGGATGCCAGAGCATTGGTTGAAATGGCAAGAAAGGTGAGGATGGCAGGTTGCTCTGAAGTGAAGAGTGCTGAATTATATCCTGGGTCATATGCTCATGCACTGAATGCTCACTATCTGATGAAAGCTGTGCAGGCAAACGAGGAGCATTCTGGAAATTATCCTCAGATAGACTGTCCTCACTGATGCTTTGCTGCAGCAAGTGATGTGATCCAAGAACTGATTGTGTACCTCTTCTGGGTCTTGCCAAGTCACTAGTTACACAATAGGATGTACCAGTTAAAGCAGCTTGAGAAACATGGTCAGAATGCTCTTGTTTGATATTCAACTCTGAGATTGGCTCTTGAACCACTACTTCAGGATAGACACTGAGAGATGCCTGTCTAACAAGGTAACCTCGTCTACGCTCCTTCATAGCTGAAGCACTTGCATAAACTTCTCCTTGTCTTGAACCGGTTGAAAGACTTCCATAATCAAATGACTTACTACGTATTTCTGGTACTTCAGTGGGTAGAGCACAGGGGGCCTGCTCTGATGATGAGCGTCGCATCTCTCTTTGATGATGGCCTGGTATAGACAAAGAATGGCCACTGCCTGGAACAGTTAAGAACTCCGACTGTTTAGCAAAGTCATCTTGTTTAGTTGGGGATACAGATTTTATGTTTTCCTCTCTGTCAAATGACATTGAAAAACTTGAGCTATGTGATAAGTTACTTTCTTGACTAGGGCTTCTTGAAAGGCTAGTACAAGTGGACTCAAAGCTTGACTCCCCAGAAGAGTGCTCCATATCTGCAAGACGCAGACGTTTCTTCTTTGGGGGCAGCTTCTCTGCAGGAAGCTGGGACAATGTTTCACTCCTTTGTGGCCACTGAAATTCCTCAACATGTTTCTCTGGTTCTTTCACTGGTACTTCAGGTTCTTTTTCTGGTTTGTCAGGCTCTTCTGTAACTCGTATTTCAGGCACTTGAATGTTGGGTTGTCGTACAAGTTTGTGGGGCATATGATACAGTGGGTTAGAAGAGAAAGATCCATGTTCATTGTCACCCTGCTGCTGATGTTCCATGCTTTCTGATCTATGATGAGAATCAGGGCTCTGCACATCATCAATGTTTTCTGAGTCTGATTGCTCAGAAAGCTGTCCAGCATGCTTATCTGGCTGATAAAATGGATGCTCAATTGATTCAGTCTTCTCAAATGAGTTTGGCCTGCTCAGCGAATTGGTATGTTGAATGACAGATATTACATTACCAGCAGTCTTCGTGTCTGAATCTTGAACATGTACAATGTCCTCTGGAGTCATACATAAGCCTCTGTCAAAACTGTCTGATGGGCTGTGTGCTCTAAACATAGAACCCTTACTAGTAGGAGCAGCCTTGGCAGAATCTTGACTTCCTTGTCTTAGGTCATAATCCCCTGTCATTTCAGTAGAGCCGTTTCGACTGCTATCATCTTGTCCAAGGCAATCTTCTTCTTCACCCACACTCTTTTTCATGCGTCTTTTTCTTGTTGTAAACTCTGTTATTCCCCCCTTTGTACCATATGAAGTGTATGCTGTGCGTACTTCTGGGAAAGCCATCTCTGACCCAGAGCCTTTAAATTCTGGCATCAAAGGCCCCCTCTCTCCCATCTTCAAACTTGAGTTCAGACCTGTGGTTTTCCCGTAGTTTTCTGATTCTCCATGACCTTCTTGGGCAGAGTGTTCAAAGGCAGCCTGCCTCCTTAACCTTTTTAGACCCGCAGCTCCTCCGTAAAAGACATCATCTTGGGTCATCATCTCATCAAATGAGTGACTTCCTCTTAGACTTGGTGGGACATTGAGGTTGGTTGGAGAAGGTGTTGGCATTGAGTTGCTTCTAATAAGTGGCCCTGAATCAGAGGGTGCTTCCAGAAGACCTGTGCTAGTTTGGCAAGAGCCAGCATGATAATGCTTTGGGTCACATCCAGCAATTAACTGTGATTCTGCACAATCACTTTGATAAAATACATGACCCTCTGATATCTTTCCCATGGCCAACTCCTGCATGGCACTAGACTTGTTGATATTAGTGTCTTGATTAGCAATAGCTACCATCCCAACTGTGACTGATTGTCTAGATCTGGAGTTGGTTCTGTGGTACCAAGTTCTTCCAAACATTATCTCTTCATATGTCTTTGCATTGGTGTTGGGTGGACTGATCTGCTGTTCGGCACTCTCTGAGCGAGAAAAGTAACCAGAATCAGTGCTACCTTTGCTGTGGGGGCTCAAGAGATTTTGAGACTGCTCTGAATCCTGGTCCTTTTTCTCAGTGAGTCTTAAGGCAAGTCTCTGTTTGACTGTATGAGACTCATCTCCTCTGCCCATCTGTCCACCAATAACTGAACCTTTAATGTCTGTAAACTGGGGACACTCTGTGGCAGGTGATGGTACCCCTTGTTTTGGAACAATTAAGATAGGCACTTTCATAGATGCCACGGACAGTTCCTCTGCTGGATCTGCGTATGCTGGTCCCCTTTCCATTGGGCTCTTGTCAGACTCAAATGATATCTGTGGGCTACATTTTTCAGGGAACATTGCACCTTCTGCAGTTTCTTCATCAGTGTCAGTGCTTTGTTCACCATCAGAATGTGCCTCTGCTTCCCCAACTGAAGATGCTTGATCTGTGTCTGTTCGAGTTGTTAACTCGGAGAATGGAACAAGTCCTGCTTTGATAGCATGAGCATGAGATTTTCTATGTTTATACAAATTGCTCTTGGTTTTGAATGAGAAACCACATGGAACACAGGGATAAGGACGCTCCCCTGTGTGGGACCGTATGTGTTTTTTAAGCACACTGGGTTTAGCACATGCCCTGCCACAGTAGTGGCATATGTACTTTCCTGGCTTCTTGGGTTTTTGTTCCTTCTTATGACTTTCATCAGGCTGCTCGGGTCCAGATTGGGAAAACTGGCCAAAACCAACTGGAGACTTCTGACGGGGAAATACTCCATGAGAGCGGGAGTGCACAGGAAACATATCATCTGGTGGCAGAGATTGCATTTGACCAGAGAAAGACCAGGCATGGGCCTCTAACACAGGTTGTGGCTTTGTACCACAAAGGAAAGGCTCCTGCGGGTATGAATGTGGCAACTGGTAGGAGTAAGGCAGAGGGAAGACTTGTTGAAACTGGCTTTCTTGTGACGAGTGTGTCACTGCAGAGGACATCAGCTTTCCAGAGCTAAACTTTTGAGTGGAGCTAGCAAGGCTTGTCCCACTTGTAAGACTTTGCTCACGATACATGTGTCTTTTAACATCTGGATCTCCGAAGGTACTTCTTTTCGTTCCAGCAGAGGGCTCAGAGACCCATTTTCTTTGTAATGGGTTCTTTTCCCGTTGCTCCTTGGTGCATGTTTGGCCAACAGCAGGTTCATGTGTCTCCATTTTTCTTAGCACTTCAATGGGGTTTCTTAAGATGTTTGCTAGATTTCATTCATGCAAGCTGTCATGCCAGATGAGTTACTAAAGTGATTCCTAAATAAAAGGTCCTTCTACTTCCATAGTTCAAGTGTTGCTCCACTTTAAAATGTAAATGATGTCCCTCTTTGCCAATCAGGCCAGTATCTTTCCATCACTCATTTCAACAGTCCATTTACTTTGTTTCATCCACGCTTGTTCCTCTTCTGTTTAATGTCCTCTCTTTCAGTATCTATACGAGAGAATAAATAAAATAACATTTAAACATTGTTTTTAGACAAGGATTATTGTTCTACATGTATTAAAGAAATTACTACATATGTAACATAACTACCTTAAGATTTTAAAGGCTGATGTCTAAAAAAGCTGGCAAAAAACAAAACAGTATAGTAGTGTATCATGTGACTCTGTTGCTCATCATACTTCAATTACAGCTTGCTTTCTTGTTTTATTTCTTTCAGTTTGATATCAAGGCAGCTGCACAGCTGTGTACTTCTCGCCTAGCAAGTGTGTCAAGAGTTTTCAATGAACTGATGCAGAGGAGCTACCACCTCCCTCTGCTCATGAGTCATCATTAACAACCTTGCCCACTCATTTCCTAAAGAGACACAAACATATAAAAATAGCCCAAGGAATGCAAATGACATTCGACATAGTGTGTGTGGGTGTTTAAAGGGCAAACTCTAAGCATTTTTTACCTTAAGAGTTTTTGGTTTTTCTATGCTTTTAAAAATCTTAACACTGTGAACACTTAAAGACAAAGGTGGGAGCAGACCAAAATACAGCCTTAAGGTACAGTATGTACTCAAAGCAATAAATAGAACATGAACGTGTTTGTAAAGGGAAGGTACTGAACACTCTCTCTGTGTGATGTATATCTTAATCTCAGGCTCGTTCTGATTGCAACAAACAGCACTGCCTGAGTATGAGTGAGGAAACTGTGACGCTGGTGTCTGGAAGGCAACGTGAGCACTAAAAATAGCAGGGCAGAAAAATCACTGGTATTTATAGCACTTAAAACATTAACTTTTGGTTCATTTTGTTTTCATAATTCTTCCTTGCCTGACACAGTAAAGTATGTGTTCACCAACCAAGACAAACTATGAGTTGAACTCCCCAGTTGCTGTTGCACTAAAGCAGCCATTTTAAATGTACAGCAGCATTGTCAGGCAATGTTTCCTATAGCAACATGCATAACAAACTTTCTGCCCAATTCTGTAAATTAGTAAGGCTTTTAGAATGCAATGACACAGAAAGATTTCTATAAAAGGACCACAGTGTATTTTCAAGATACACCTGATACTACTATAAAGATGTAGATTTTTCTTTTGTTGTTTGAATAACATGTCATAGACTGCAGCAGGTATTATAGGCACTGTCACGTTTAGACCTACTGCACGGATCCAACATATTGACAATATATTGATCAATTTTCTCCAAAGAACTTTTCTCATTCATGCATTTTTCTTTACCACCCTCACATGTTGATAAATTTAAGTAGTACTGCACTGTGTGGATCTTTATACCTTCTGCAACAACAATATAGCGAAATCTGTATTGATAGTAGGAGAGGGAGAAAAAATCTATCCATCGATGCATCGCGATTCTCTCTCCAACGATTCTGGATCTATTCTGAGAATTTCAGAATCGATTCTGAGCTTAGCTTTTAACCAGATGCGCGATGACGCTGAGTTTGTTTTAGAAACACCTGTATTCTGCTTGCTTCCAATTCCTCACACACATACACCACTCGAACCTTCCGTAAAATAATCTTTCATAAAGTTCGGAAAGGTTGAAGCGAATTACAGTACAAGGACATTCGCGGGCTTCATTGCACCGGATGCGCTGTGAGAAACCGCGCTTTGTTTGATATTTCACTTGAAGTGTGCGGTCTCGCCCGTCGGTATTTTCCTTACAAATTCTCTACGAAGTCATCATTTATGTGGTTTGGAATGCAGTGGACTTATATTTAATTATAATTATATATATTTACTTATATATATTTAAAATATGAACCTCACTAACAGAAGGCTGCTTTCAATTTCAAATGCTGACGCGCGCTTTGTTGGTGAAGACTGCTCACGCATGCGGCTGTGCGCGACTCCGTGTAAGTGGTTTAATGCACTTGCATCTCAAAATGGTTTTATGATGCAAAATTAATGTAAACACAGACAGTTATGTCTTAAGGGATTAAACGGACAGGACAAACCACATTACTTCTTATATTTCAAAAGAGATCCATGCGTGAATGCAGCTTAATAGATCTCCCGCTGTCTATGATGTTATAGTAACAAATAACAGTAAAGATGAAGAAAAATCACTCAGTTCTTGAATGGAAAACGTTCAGATAAACTTTAATACTGGAAGCACTCTTTGTTTGTAATATGTTTCTATGCTCCTCTTTATTATTTGCTACTTGCTTGTATGTTTTGAAGTTATATTTGTTTAAAATTCTTAACATACAAATTTTAATTATTTTGTTCAATTTGTAATTATTTTAAAAAGTACTTAATTACTTATGTAAGGATATGTAAATGTAAGGATTTTAAGATTCTCGAGTCGGTAAACTAATTAATTAATAAGGGGTGAAAAAGTAGATCAAGAATCGTTCTGGAATCGGATCGTGACTCCCAGAATCGGAATCGGAATCGGATCGTGAGATGACTAAAGATTCCCACCCCTAAACGATAGACACTTTGTAATGTTGCTGTGATGCAGTACATCTCATCATTCCATCCAGCCTTATTGCTCATGCTTGCGCCTGCTTTTTTCTTGCCTTTCATGACATGATGGGTTTTTGGGTTGCGAGATACTGCATCTACTGAATGAATTGCATAATCTATGTTTCTGAGGGAGGTTAAAAATACTTTGAATCACATTTTTAAGAGGCAAATGGATGTGCTTGAGAGCGCATGTGTGGGACACCCACTGTCAAGAGGATAAGAGCAGTACCTCCATTCACAGCAAATCCATCAGAATTCGGAATAGAATGACTAAGTCGTATTACATAAACCAAAAGAGGTTACAAGAATCTTATATGACATGAAATCCCTGTGCTCTCTGCCACTGTTACAAAGTGAATCTACACTATGATCTACACTGTTCTACACATATAGCTCGAGACATATTTTTTAACCACCCCATGCTAGATGAAACTTGTTTATGCCCAAAGATTATTGTGATCCTTGCATGGCTGAGATCACTATGCTGCTGTCTGCTGTCCCACTCATCTTCCTGCCCCATTTCACCATACAAAGTGTAGGAGGTTCTTAGCCTGGGGCCACAGCAAGGCCTCCATGCTGAATGCACAATACCGGTATAATAAAGAACATAAAAACTTTTATGAGGACGCTTGCTCATGAATAAAAATACACCACCTAATCTAACGCAAGGATTATGCATTTTACAGTTCTGCTGTCAGATTCCAGTGAGAGGATTAACAGCAGTCTTCTCAAAGTCTGTTTGTCAATGAATGCTGCACGGTGCAGCAGTCCTAAAAGGATTTGGAGAAGCATTATGTCACATTCTAAGCCAGTTGGATATCCTTTTCACTTGAAGGGAGACTCCCTGTCTTTTTAAAGTGCTATCACATTTAAAGCCATTATGCAGTGGAAATGCCTAATCTCTCCAAAGTTCACCGCAGGACACTGCAAGACCGCAAACAAATAGGCCTAAATATATAAATGAACAAATAAATAAAGAATAAAATAGAAGCAGACTAGGAAAAAAGTAATTTTTTGCCAAAGTATGTTCTTGAAATATTCTGAGTCATGCTCTTCAGCACTGTGATTATCAGCTGCCTGGCTGTTTGACTCCTGCCAAAGTTACAGGGTTATAGCAATAAACAACTAGGGTAATTCAGTCACGCTTGTCCATTTACCACTCCCCCCTTTTTAAGAGATGGTTTTGCAGTCCAAAGCCGCTTATGGTATGATCTGTTGGTTCATGCACAAAGATCTGGAACTTCAGTAGTGTAAATGACTCAGAAATAATTAGTTGACATGTATGTGACTGCAGTTTGCATACTTAAGCTAATGGACTCTTTGGAGGCAGACAGTGTTACTAGATCATGTAGCTCACTGAGGTGCACCTGGGTACACCGGGCGGTATGTTCTAGAGATTGGGTTCCACCTTTTGTCTACTCCCTCATGACATCACAGCCATGATGCTGGGGAGGTACACAAGGCAGATCTCATTTCCCTGAGACCAAGTGGCACAATTTTTTGTCCCTTGTAGGACAAACACTGAATATTTCAACAGGGAAATATAGTGACAAATTCCTAACGCTAAAACAATCATAGTCAATCCCACAAACTTTATTTTTCACTTATTTGTATTTGCCGTGCCGTCATGTGTCAAAATTTTGCTTACACCTTGCTTGGTTGTCTCAAGAAGAACTTTACTGCCAAAGGGGAATTTCAAGTGTGCACAAATACCACTACTCTTACAGAGGAGGAGAGGTTGCGGAGTTGATTTTCCACTGCCCTTGTTCCAGCTATCCCAACTCATTAGTGATGGAGGCAACTTTTACTACTTCAACTGGCTTTACCATCTGGCACAGAGCAGATTAGAGCCAGTCTGAAAATAGACTGAAGTAAAGATACCACAATAAAGTCTTATGTTTTAAAGGAACTGGCACATGTCTATTCAAAGCAATTATTCAAGCAACCATGACTGCATGTGGGAAGGATCTCAATAGCTGTTTTTTTATAGAACTTACTATAACTACCTGAAAAAAAGGCACTGTCCGTTCAATCAAATAAAGGACATTTCTGAGACAATCCTGAGTTATGGCCCACTAATGCTATCCTCACATCACCTTTTCCTTCACTCGCTAAGGATTTTTGTCTTAGCAGTTTATCTCAGCTTTCCGCAAGTTTCACCTTTTGCTCATCCAGCAACTTTTACAGTGTGATTTTGGTCTGTGTTAGCAGGACTGGAGGATGTATCACCCAAAATGTGTGTGAGTCAGCCCCCTGGAGTGTCATACTGACTCCTCATTAAGAATCCAAAGTTGAATCTTGGGCAGACGACTCATCCAGCTCCACATGCAGCCGGGTGAGAGGCCACTGCAGAGACACAGGCCTGCTAAAATCATGTCCAGATGGTCAGCGGAGGGGAGTTCTACACATCGGCAATATCGCAATCACATTCCAAGGACACTGGACTTCCATAACGCACTGTTCGACAATAGTTACAATGCCTTTAAAGCCTTCTGAAATTAGGAAATGGGAGGATCGATAGGAGTTCATGAAAAGACAGCTGTACTTGCAGTTCCAACAGATAAACCAGTCTTTCAAAGCTATATGGAGGAGAGGAAAAAGCCATTAAAGCAAAGGGGAAGTATTTTTAACACTGTACAGGAGAGCCTAAGCATTTATGTGCGCGCTGGAGAGAGAAAGCATGCGTGGGAAGCATCTACAGCCATCTCGAGATGGGGTGAGGAGAGTGGGTGACTGTTCCTGTGTGGGAGGAGAAGGCATGAATACCATGCAGGGTTATGGTGTTGATGAATTGCGTTATGAAAGGGGCTTCAGTTACACAACCCAGCCCATCCAATTCTCTGCCTGTGTGGGCCGAGAGGGATGGCAGAGCTGCTGTGATCCGCACGCAGCCGGAAACGAGGTGAATACAACCCTTCAAGACATTTGGTCGAATGCGTAATTATCTAGCAGCTGTGATGCCAGCGACTCAGTGAGAGCGAGAGAGTGAATGTACCGGAAAAATCAAGCATCAACAGACTCACATTCATGGAAATGATGGGCAATTCTTTCATAAGGACAATATCACAGCATAAAGAAGAGGGAGAAAACGCTCGCTCGCTCTGATTAGTTTTGAGATACGGCAGCGGAAAGGACACATTATCCATTAGCTTGTCATTATAATCATATCAATGGTAATTATTTAAATAATATCATCTGTCCAGACGGCTGCTCTCTCAACAAATTGCTATGCGCTAAAATTTGACTGGGCCTTGCCATTAAATAAGACATTAGCACTGCCTCAGTTTGGGGAATGTTGCGATTTATCTTGACGAACAGTAACAGCAGTTAAGAAAGTGCCCAGTTATTATGTCCACCGTTTATGTCTTTTAATATTGAAAAAGCTACTGATATCTATTTCTACAAGCCACCAACCATTTGCAGGGCTCTGATGGGAAGCCTTGAGTAAACCTATTACAGTCAAGCAGCAGTTCTCTCTTCTTTCTCACTGTCACAGAAGAGGTCTGCATTGGGACAGTACCACGATCGGACTGCTGCTGTGGGTGTCGGGTCAAAAGGCAGTGCCTGCTGATAGAAAACACAACAGCTATTAAGGAGAGAATAAATCCCTTTCAACATGAGGTCGTGTCTAATTTAACTGCCACTCTGAAAGCCCAATCACTATCCCCCCAGCACGAGATACTGTTACCAATCAAATAAGTGACTGGACCGACCACTAGAGAAAAGGGGGGCCTGGAAAAATGTACTCCGGTCTGGGATAGAGGTCTGACCCGGGACTCTGAGGCACACCAGCAGTCCAATATAGGGCGGAGCAGCGTAATTAAAGGATGGCTCGATAATTGAAAACGGCAGAGATGAAAACATTCTCTGTGAATAACCCGCTCCCAAAACAAGAGCTGCATAGTTGTGGACTGGTGCAATGCAGGAAAACGTCATGGAAGTAAATAGGGAAAAGATCATCAGCACCATGTATAGGTCATTAGATGGATTTATGATGCATTCCTGGAGGCGGGGTTTAAAAACATGCCGGCCTTGCAGACTGTGGGAGGGAATGTGCGATTTGACACTAAATCTTCCTGTAGGTGCCATTGCTTAGACTGCTAAGTGAAGCGCCAACAATCCTAAGGGTTTTTCAGACTCCACAGCTGTATCTGTTTTAATGTACATGTTTCCATTTAGCCTTGGCTTAAACACAGAACACTGCCCTATGGAAGGAAAGACAGGAATAAAAAAAAGTGAAAAACAGGGCTTCATGTTGGTCTTAATTGTCTATGGAAAGACTGTCATATTTTCCACCGGGTAAGCTTGAAACCATTACAAGCTAGCCTTCATTAAATTTTCCACAACATTTTGCAGAAATGTCAGGAAGCAGCTGTGGAGGCACTGATTAATTGTCTTTCTTACTTACTTACAACATTATGCCTTATTGAAATTATATCCTTGCTTTTTTCACTTCCTCTCACCTACATTAGAACCTCATGAGGTTGACTGAACCATGTATAAACGTAAAGCCTGTGGTCAGTTGTTGACATTGAAATCACAGAACCCAAGGGGAAATGACTAACTCCAAAGGAGGTCTTAGCTTGGCTCTACCATAAAAGGGGTTTGGACATAGCTTGGATCTTGTAGATTAATACATGTCAACCCTTCAGCCACACGAAGGCACTTTCCACAGCATACTGGATGCAAGTGCATCAAAAAAAGGTGTTGCACAGGACTAGCCAAAGCAAGTGGAACGGTATACCTCAAAGATTTCCACTGCCAAAATTCTATAAAGAGAAGGTGCAAAACAAGAGGGAGAGCATCTGGAGGTTGTGATCCCGAGTGGAAGAGTTGAAACATCTGCCACAAGTGTGCCCTGGCCTCCTAGAGTATAACAAATAAATGGCTCTAGTCACTGTCCGAGGTTAAAAGCTTAAGCACTGGTGGGCGAGAGCATGCAAGAGTGAGATGTTTGGCTGCCACTACACTGAGCACCATTGAAAATAAACCCTGTCACTGTTCATGGCTCAAGCTTTGAAGCACAGGCATTTGTGGCATCCACAAACATATCATAGGACTATCTTTGCTCTGCTGTAGGGGCCTAAAGGCTGGAATACACTACATGACTTTTGCCCAGATTTTTGGCCCTATTTGCAGTCTGGATGCTTTAGCTGTTGGAAGTCAGAGCCAGTCTGTCGTTTTTGGGCAGTCGAAGTTGAAAGATTTCACAGAAAATTGTGTCATGTATGATTTTTGTGCTTCAGACTATGATTACATCAGGTCAGAGGATATCAATAACGTTTGGTATTTTGAGTCAGTTTTAGAACACATATTGCTTTCATTTGTCGTACATCTCCTAGCAATGAGACGCATGTTTCTGTGTGAGTTCATGTTCGGAACGACTTGAAAGTCTGGTAGTGTGTGATCCTCAGATGTTTAGTGTACAATGCCCAGTTTTTCTCTGTAAAACTATGCCTATTGTTTTAAAATATGTAGTGTATTCCAGCCTTACATGTAGAGGACTAAAAACAGGAATCAATACCAAAATATCCTTTGTGATCTTTGAACTTACTAAAGGCCCTCTTAAATATTGATTCATCTATATGATTCCACTCCCCTGCTAATCAAAAGCTTTATTAGCTGTGGTAAATCATGTATAATCAGCGATGCTTCCCACTGCATCTGTGAGGCATGCAACCTCAGCACACTGTCCCGCCAGATGCACAGCCCGAAGAACATGTGTCTCCCTAACCTCACTTTTCCCATATTAAACACCTTGGTCCTTCATGGCCTCCCAGATACTCCCCATCCTGCTGTTTTTGCTCTTGTGTGGTGTGACATTGTGAACTCACCCAAAGGTTCTCTGTAAGTCTGGGATCTGCTTGTTTCTCAGGGTAAAGGCCTCACGCTGCTTCCTCTATGGTAGTCAGGTTAGGCAGGCGAAGGCTGGGCAGTGGGGTGACAAGTAAGATCCCCTGGCCAGGGTGCTGAGATTATGCAGACCACTGTAGAGACAATGAAAGGAAACAAGTTTAATGATAATGCGAGACTAAATAGAGACTATCAGACTAGCTTAAGGCTCTTCATATTGAATAAATAACCTGGAACTGAGCATCTGCTAGAACAATATTTCCACTCTCTTTGGAGCAGTCATGCTCTTTTAATATGAATCCTCTGATGTGTTTATGCACAAACCATATTGCAATGAAGTTTCTGTCTTTGAGATAATATACGCAATGTTATGAAACATGCCGATACAAATTCAAACTGATTAAACATCAACCTTTCCTTCATTTGACATCTGCCTGATGGTATTGTGCATCTTACACACTGTTCTCTACATTTTTTTCTTGGAATTTTAAAAAATCGCATACACCATAATCAAACACTGGGCATAATTATACTGATTGGTAATCTGCCAGAACGAGGTTGTCTTATCATAAACAGAAAAGTGTCTGACTCAATTTGTTGCCTTTAACAACACCAACACTAAAATGGCAAAAAAGGCAATAGCAAAGAACCCAGACGACGACCACAGGGCTCCATTGTTTGTGCCTGGACGAGACTGAACCTTGGCCAGCAGTCTATGATGGAGAAAGAAAAAATTGCTGTAATATTGCTATAAAAAAGGCACTTACGATACCAGGACTGAAACAATAGAACATGACTATACATTTATGTATTCCATTATTATAAAACAAGTATAATACGCATGCACTGCACATCTATCCATTTATACTATGATAAGAAAATAAAGATACCAGAAGAAGTCTCTCTGACAAAGACCACAACCTTAAGGTCTTAGTTCTTAGTTAAACTATTTGCTTGGCCTTTGTAATGCTATTCAGGCCTGCTCTCCAAAAGTCCATCTAGAGAAGCATGCTTGACATTTTTTTCATGCTCCCTGCCTTGGAGTGAATGCAGCCAAGCTGTGCTCTTCAGCCTCGCAATCTAAAATGTGCCCCAGGGCTGGAGATATTACAAACACCATTATGCTTCTCTGCTGCACTAAGACAAGCTCAGCTAACCCAGAAAAACAAGACATTTCTGTGAGGTTGCATCACAATCTGCAGTGGAGCTCACCCAGGGTAAACACAGGCAACACTTCCTCTCACCCGCAACAACAACAAAAAAAAAACCTTTCACCAGAGCTCAGATATATCATGCTGCACACCTAATCAAGACATCAGACTTTCAAAACGTTTTAACAATGCCATTATAAGGAAGGTTTATTATGTATTTATAATAAAAACGAATCATCAACCGTATCATATTATGTGCATATCAGTATATTTTGGTAGCTGAAATGACTTTGGTGTCAGTAAACAATTGGTTTCTGCCAATGGTTTCAATGTTCTATGTAGGCTTATGATGCTTTTGGGGAAACAAAGTCCAGCTACAGTATTTAGACTACTTGCTCAAAACCCTTTACCAAGGAGCTCACCCACAACCAAGGATCTCACCCAAAACAGGTCATCAAGAACTCACAAGAGAAACTATTCTTACCACTGAGATGTGCTGTAATGGGGGCAATGATGAGTGCTTGCTTCATCTTAAAAAAAGCATCCAAAATAGAGACCCAACATAGGGCTGTTAGCTAAATGAACAGGCGATGAATTGGAGATGTACAGGGTATAAATAACTGCCTGTAATTATATGCCTCCACTTTTTTCCATGGAAATTATCATTTGAAAGTACTTGAGGACATGTGGCACATTTTGTCAAAGCTCTCATAAACTATGCTCTGTGCCACTCTACAGTGTGTGAATTAAAATGTAAAGAGTGACAAGTGAATGCATATTTTCTGTTTCAATGGTCTGAGTAATTTCAGCAAAATGATTTCGGTGGAAAACGCGCCATATAATGTCATGCCATAAATATGTTTCCAACCCCCTTCCCAACATCCTCACCATTTTCTGCCTCTTTGTCTTAAAGTGAATAGGATTACAGAACTGACACAGGAAATATATTATTATGAAGCAGTTTCTACCCTAATCCATTTCCATTTACTTCAGTGAGAGAACACAAACTCCTCATAAAAATGAAATAGAGCAGCCTGATAAACCAGGAGGAAGTCCTAGTTGTTCAGATGGATCTTATGTAATATCAAAAAAACACTTAAACAATGCTTTATTTGAATGTTCAGTGATGCTGTTTACACTGGATGCGGCGCAGCAAATCCCCGACAGTAAACTGCTGCACATTCTATTTATAACGTGCTTTCAAATGATTTTCAACAGTCGCTTTGTCGCATCCAGTGTAGACAGACTTTAGCTGATGCGGCACGGTGCGTCGCGACATGATAACGGTCACGTCCGGTGTAGACACGGTGTAACGTTTGCCTGTTACATTACAGTAAATAAAATTTCACTTACCACATAAACAGAGTTAAGGAGAGATGACGGAAGACGATGGCGAATGATTTGCAGATCTTGTGCACCACTGACAAACATCTAATCTTGTAAAATGTGTGGTAAGTACTGCTGCTCCATAGTATAAACAGACTACGTGCAATCGCAAATCTCGAAAGTGAAAGTGAAACTAAAAAGCCATCGTGCATTCAAAAGAAGTTTCAATGCCAGGTATAATAGTGGCTCCCTGATGCCCGAAATATATGTAATATAATTACCCAATGATATAACTGCGAGGGAAAATATTGAAATATTTATTTTCCTCCCATCTCCTATTTATTCCCTTTAGAGGTTCTGCCTACACGTCATTTTCTTTCCGAACACGGTATTGGGATACGGCGGATTAATGTCTATCAGCCATTGGCAATGGACGATGGCATCGTCTATCGGCCCAACCCTAGTGTGTTGCACGCGAAGATGAAAAGGCACACTGCCAGATTTTATTTTTTTATTTATTTAGGTACATTTTTAGAGAGATCTGCAGTATATGAGTCACAGAATTTCAGATAACGATTTATACAGCCAGTTTATTGGGCACATCCTGCCCAACAACTGAGCAATCCTGCCCGGCTCAATTATTGCACGTGGTCAGCGACCACATCTTTTGAGTAAAATTTGTTAAGGCGACAAGCCTTCCTGTTGCCTCACTTCCACAACATTATTCAGGGTGCTAAAAAATTCATTCAGAGTAATACAGGAAAGTTAGCAAGATCATTTAAGGTGGCATTAAGAAGCTAAATGTATCACGGAGGAGGAAAGGCCCTGGGGCTAGAAGAGCTGTCATCATTCTGACTCGCCACTCATCGTACCGGCCCTGCAACCATGGGAACCAATGTGCACTCTGTCAGGTACACCTGCCTCACCCTGACACCTCCATTGCGCTCACCACTCTCTCTCATTTCCTCTTTTACTCATTCTCTTTTAAACCTCTTTCCTTCTGCTCGTGTATCATTTTGCATTCTCTTGCATGTCTGATGAACTATGACGCCATCCTTTCCAAACCCGAGCTTCAACTTGAGGAAGTCGGTTTAATGAAGCCCAGCTGAGGACAAATAATAGGGTGAGGAGAAACTGTTACTACCCAGAATAGATCGACCCAACACCAGTCAAATCCCCATCCGTGGATTGTCGTAGATATGCGCAACATTGGCCACTACGTGAACAAATCTACACTCGTGACCCTCGCAGCATCACAAGTTCAAGTCCTACTCCATAATTAATATAATTCTGTTTAATAAATACTCTTAACATCTGCTGCCTTTGTGTCTCTTTAATAGGACTTGTAGCTCCAGGCGCCATATAGAGACAATGCAATTACCTTATATTTAATGGGCCGACTTAAAAATTTATAGAAGGAAACTGGAAAGTACTTTTGATAAATGACACAACCAACAAAGGTGACAGCTCCCTCCTTCGGCTTAGTCTTAAAAAAGAAAGCAGAAAAAAGGAAAGGATCCCGTTAAACCATCACATGTCTCCCAGCGCAAGCAAACATACCAGTAGGCTCTGTTGTTCTCCTTCAGCCCCAGCTGCACACAATCCCCCACCGAATCCCCCACTTCCATCTTTCTCTCTGCTTCCTTCCACACTTTGATTCTCATGTCTCTTCATGACAGGGCGTTTTAATGGAAAGAGAACCTCTGATAGATGAGTGCATCAGTGAGGAATTCGGCGCATAGTTGTGGTCATGACATCAGAGTCACACGTTGTATTGTTGGGCGGTGAGTGTTCCCCTGACGGCCGGGGTCCAGTGTAATGTTACCCCTCACAAGAGCCGGGAAATCGGGCTAAGTGGATTTCCTGACGGCACAGGCTGACTTGTACTGGAATTAGCTTCAATGACAGGCCAAAATAAAGGCGGAAATAAACGTGGCAAGATTGGTTTTCTGTGCTTTTAACTAATATGTCTGATCTTCCCAGCAGACTGAGAAAGGGTTCGCTTCTGGTCAGTGGGTTGGCCATCCAATCATCTTTGTACTCTTGACAGAAGAACTACTTTCACATGTGTCATGGTCTATGTTTGGTCAATCCAGACGGGACCTTCCCATCTGAACAGTATCTACAAACCAAAAGGAAAATACAGTGGCAACTAAACATAAAACATTTATATAGAAAATATCAAAGATTTTTAAATAATTTAAAAAAAAAGCACAGCAAACATTATAGCACGGCTCCAATGTCAAGAACAATTTAAATGCTTTGCAAGAATTTCAAGATAATAAAAGACACATTTAATATAACCAGCCAGATACCCCTGTGCAAAATTATGTTAGGTATTCAATGATTTACGAGTTGTCCAGTCTTAAAAGGCGAGAAATTGATTCATTGCTCACAACTAATTTGAAACATCATGAGGCGAATACCTCTAGAGGTTTTCTAGTCAAACAAAACCGCTGAAACAAAAATATTTAAGTCTCATGGTTTATTGTGATATAGACGAGCTATAAAAGCCCTGATCACACACTGTTGATTAGGCAAAGTTCCAGAGGGAGTGTTGTCTCTCCATTGCTTGTTTATCTAAAGAGTCAGCGGAAACACATGACCAAGAACGAGGCGCAATGAGCATCTCCACAATCCAGCAGGTGTAGAAGAGC